TGGGTGAGCGGGCGGGGAAAGTGGAGGAAGGTGGAGGAGGCGATAGGTAGGCAGGGAGTGGGCGGGACGTGGGTGAGAGCAGAAAAAGGTGCTCATTAATTAATTGTGTTATGATACGACAGACGGAACACACTAGGAAATGTAGCAGCAATAACAACATTGAACGTGTACTGAGTCGACGTAACCAACAACATATTCGCAGAAACATAAAGATATGACTATATAAGACAACAGACGACTGTATCTAGAGACTATCAGACAGCAAAAGACCAAATCATGACTAGAATTGTTTCATTCGCCTTGATTATGTACACTGGAGGCCCAATGCATACGAAGAAGGGTTGGAATGCATTGGGGAGCGGCTAGTACATGAGCACCCCGAATCAGTTATCATTCCCTAGAGGCAAAAGTCAGACACATTGTCTTGTCTGACTTCTTGAAAGACCCCCGAGCAATAGCGTGTCAGCGTGATCCAATAAACTCTGGTGAAACCCAGAGAAAGGCAGTTATAGTTCTGTTATCTAAATGTAAAAACAAAATGGGAGCATCTCCAAAACAAAAAGAGAACAAATTAAAACAGCAGACCATAGATGGATAAAGTAAAATAATATTATGAAAAGAATAGTAGACATGATAAGAAATAGATGTTAAAAGAAATTCTAAAGCTGCTAAGTTTTTTAAAATTGGCTCCCTAAAGAGGAAAAAAGAACAGCAATAAAACTTTGAAGAGAGGGTGGTTGGCGGGTGCCCTTGTGTGGTTTGCTCCTTCTTCCTATCAAACATGTGTTGTTCTTACCTCTCCTCCTTCTTTTTTGCGTTTGTTGCACTCTTGTAATACCTCTAGCATTCAGCTTTAAGCGATATTGTTGTGTTCCAAGTGCCGTAAAACTCTTGATAAAATTAAGACTTTGATACAGCAACAAAGTGGTAACAGGTGCCACGCTATCTCTTTCACTACAATGGAGTAACTTTATTTCTAATAAGGAAATATGAAATTGGAGTTAAAGGACTGGAAACACAGTGAGGAAAATCAATAACGGCACTAAAAAAAAAGAAAAAAACCCAACAACCCCCCCCCCCAAAAAAAAAACAACCCACAAAAAAACCAAAAAAACCCCAACAAAACCAAACATACCCAACAACTATATAGGAAAACTACAACTAGAATAACAACACTTTCAACAACGGAAAAAAGAATTTTAAAAATCAATAATGAAAACAATAGCAACAACAGCAACGACAACATCAACAACAGACAAACAAATATACAAAAAACAACAGCAGTATAAATGGCAGTGTCACTTAGATATCAATTAAAAAAAAACATTTTTCCGACGAGCCGTAAGAAATTAGGTACTGACACTTTAAACATTTTTCTAAAACAGTCTATGATCATATAAAGAAACATTCTGAGGTGGGCGGGGGAAAGATGTATTATCAGGCGAATAAAACGCATGCATTACATTATGTGAGCAGGTGTACGTGCATTATTTATTGTGTGTGTGTGTGTGTGTGTGTGTGTGTGTGTGCGTGTGTGTGTATGCGAGTGTGTGTGTGTGTGAGTGTGTGAAAGAGAGAGAGAAAGAGATAGAGATATAGATAGATAGCTAGCTGGCTATATAGATAGATAGATCCAAAGATACACAGATACAGAGATAGAGAGAGAGAGAGAGAGAGAGAGAGAGAGAGAGAGAGAGAGAGAGAGAGAGAGAGAGAGAGAGAGAGAGAGTGACACAGAGAGAGAGAGAGAGAGAGAGAGAGAGAGAGAGAGAGAGAGAAAGAGAGAGAGAGAGGGGGGGGGGAAGGAAAAGTGTGTTGGAAGAAAATAAGGGGGAGGGTTGAGCGCCTTTTACCATGAGGCGCAAGAGTGTATAAGGTAGATCACAAAAGGAGTAGGTTGAAAGTTAGTAAGATTGATAGATAAATAGATATATAGTTAGATCGATCGATCGATCGATCGATCGATCGATAGATAGATAGATAGATAGATAGATAGATAGATAGATAGATAGATAGATAGATAGATAGATAGATCGATCGATCGATCGATCGATCGATCAATCGATAAATAGACAGATAGATAGATAGATAGATAGATAGATAGATAGATAGATAGATAGATAGATAGATAGATAGATAGATAGATAGATAGAAAGATAGATAGTACATGTGAACTAATGATCACAAACATAAAAGACTCTGATTTCATAAAGTAAGAGTTTGGTAGACGACCTTCGCTTCGTACCCTCCAGAGAGTTGGGAAAGCGGTATAAGAATTAGTGGTGGGGAGTGCACAGAGAAAAATGTCCCGAGTCATTGGAATCTTCAGGGATCTACTTGGATCCGCGTACTAGTAGTATAAACTAGCTTGTGATTGGAGCAAATATTTGTTCCGTTTCTCATAATCTCTTGTCTCCTCCTCGGTATTGCTTTCGGCCCAGGAAGTGCTCCCTGTGAGGGTGCCAGGAGTTTGGGAACACCCACG